GATAAAACTATGACAAAAGAATAGAAAAATGGGGAGTGGGGGAAGCAGTGTCAACTCAAGAGAGTCTTTGGGAATTTTCCTCAAGTGAGTGTTAACTCTAGCAAGGATACAAGCCTTCGAAGACAATAAATGAAGTAATAAGAAACAGCCTCAATTTGATCTCTGTATAATGCTAAGATGTGGCCACTGTTTTCTTTAAAGGACTTATTTAAGTGCAGATAATGGCTGATAACTCAAACTCCTCCATAGCTCTTTGTCCATCAGCAGGGAGCATTTAGGGGTAAGTCTTAAAGAAGTCATGGGGTGTTGTATTATATGTGGGAGAGAACACACCAGGAACTGCAACTTTTATCTTAGCAAAGGACCCCGATCAAATTTTCAACCCTGAATCTGAATCTCAAGCATGTTAAACCTGATGTACATATATGTTTAAGGCTTAAGCCTGTAGTTCTTATATTCAGAAGCAATAATATTGTGAATATTCTTAATACATTTCATTATTCAATGTATTATATGACACTGATGCAGAGTCATAATGTTCTGGGCAATTATTTTCCTGAAGACCACAACCCCTAAGTCAGGAAAGGTATTCTCATATAGGGAAAAACACTTGAAGTTTCCAGATTGTTACACAATACATTTCATTAAGAACTGTACTGTATGGCAATGCTGATTTTTTTTAAAAAATCCTTCCCCTCCCCCACCTTCAATTAAGAGTGGTGGTGAGTATTTGCTTAACACTGGCCTTCTTATGTAGCAGATACTTTCTTATGACTATATTCATTTGAATAAGAAACCAAAGACGACTCTCTGAATTTTTGAGTGTTTGATCATAGTACACCTCATCAAATGGTTGCTTCAGTGGTATCAAGTCTAGAATTCAGAACTGCTGCTCTATCCCATAAATTTATTTAGAGCAAGATAAGGCATTGTCAATAAATAAGCTGTAATTTACATCTTTAAATTCATAGGGTTGGCCATGGGATAATGACATGTCTACATAAAGGTGTAGATCCTTGGAATCAGAGGAGACGGTGGGAGTAACACTAAAGATGCAAAAGCCATAAACAGAGAATTAACTTTCCTTATTGGTTTGGCTGACTGGTGTTCAAAGAATGTATATAAATATTTAAAATAGCATTTTTTAGAAATTAGATCCGAAAACCAGGAAGAAAATTGTGTTTTGAGATACTTTTCTGCTTCATTCCAAAAATTTTCTATACTCATTATAGAAGACAAAGGCAGAAGGGAGGAAATGAGGATATTAAACAAAAAAGAGACTAGAGAATGCAATATTTTTTAAATAGGGACTTAACCTCAATGGAAAGAAATCCATTTTTCTCCCACTATAGAGCTAGTCATCCAGAAAGGTGCTTAAAGTATGTCTGCATATTTAACATTAAAAATC